GGTGATGTGTTCCCACTTCCATTCTGGAATCGGTAAAGGCTGAAGCAACCCCCCTGGGCGTTGATGTTCTGCTTTGACCTGCTGACATACCAAGCACTTAGATACAAAGTCGGCTATATCTCTCTTCATCCCATTCCACCAGAATCGGGGTCGCATAGTTTGGTACATTTTTGTACTTCCTGGATGCATGGCGAACCTTGAACTATGGGACTCTGTCATGATGTCTCTTTTTAATTCATTGTCGTCTGGGACACACATTCTGTCCTTGAAACGAATCAATCCGTCGGTAGAGATCTGAAATTCTGAGTTCACTCCCTGTTCTGCATCCTTCTTGCGGTTTACTAGGGCGGGGTCGATTGACTGGGCTTCCTTTATTCTTTGGATTAACTCGGGTTGGACTGCTAGGTGGCTCAAACATGTGGCCCTCTTCAGATCTTGCAGTCGAACCTGCTGCGTAGCCCCAATGGACCTGCATTCCGAAACCATCAGATGGGCTAGGGTGCCTGCACTCTTCCTACTGAGGGCATCGGCTACTACGTTGCCCTTACCTGGATGGTATAGGATGTCACAATCATAGTCCTTGAGGAGTTCCATCCACCTTCTCTGACGCATGTTGAGATCATTCTGAGTGAAGATGTGCTTCAAACTCTTATGATCGGTGTAGATCTGAAAGGTCTCTCCATACAAATAATGGCGCCAGATTTTCAAGGCGTGTATGATTGCGGCAAGCTCCAAGTCATGGGTAGGATAGTTCTTCTCATGATTCTTTAGCTGTCTAGACCCATATGCTATAATCTTTCCATGCTGCATCAGGACACAACCCAGGCCCAGATAGGAGGCATCACTATAAACTGTATACCCTCCTGATCCACTCGGTAGAGCCAGCACGAGTGCAGTAGTCAGTCGCTTCTTCAATTCTGAAAAACTCCTTTCGCAGTTCTCATTCCAATCAAACTTTGCATTTTTCTTTGTGAGTCGGGTTAGAGGGGCCGCTAGACTGGAGAACCCTTCGACAAACCGGCGGTAATAACCCGCCATCCCTAGGAAACTGCGAATTTCCTTAACTGTTGTCAGCCTTTCCCAACCAAGTACCGCTTCAACCTTTTCGGGGTTCACCGACACCCCTTCCTTCGATATAACATGTCCTAGGAAGGCGGTTTGCTCGAGCCAAAATCCACACTTGCTCAACTTTGCATACAACTTCTTTTCCCTGAGTACCTGGAGGACTTGGGCAAGATGATGAGCATGTTCTTCTCTACTTTTTGAGTAGACTAAGATATCATCGATGAACACGATGACAAATTTATCCAAAAACTCTCTGAAGATTCTGTTCATTAGATCCATAAAGATGGTCGGGGCGTTGGTTAGCCCAAACGGCATAACCAGGAACTCATAGTGTCCGTACCTGGTTCGGAATGCCGTCTTGGGGATGTCTTCAGCTCTCACTTTCACCTGATGATAACCTAATCGTAGATCTATTTTAGAAAAGACCTGTGCACCCTGCAACTGATCGAAAAGGTCATCAATCCGGGGGAGAGGGTACTTGTTTTTAATTGTTACCTTGTTTATCCTTCTATAATCAATACACAGTCTCAACGTTCCATCTCCTTTCTTTGCAAAAGTAACCCCGGCACCCCATGGGGAAATGCTGTGTCTAATGAAGCCACTGTTTTGTAGCTCAGTGATTTGTTTCCTTAGCTCTTCCATCTCGATGCGGCTCATTCGGTAAGGAGCTACCGAGATGGGTTGGGTTCCTGGCTGTAAGTCTATGGTGAACTCGATCTCTCTGTCCCCTGGTAGACCGGGCAGTTCATCCGGAAATACGTCTGGAAAGTCTCAGACTACTGGAATCTCTTGGATACAAACTTCCTTCTTGGGTTTACCATGTACCACGTCCGGGTCTGCATCGGCATCCTTCTGGGTAAGGTTGTAAACTCTGCCCTGGATTGGAGGCCTCCCTTGATTCTGGTTCCTAGGGCACTCCCTCGCATAGTGCTGGGCACTGCTGCATATGCGACAGGTGTTGTTGAAGCGGTAGCAGGGTCGGTCCCCATGATCCCTGCCGCAGTACTGGCAGGTCTTCCCACGAGCTGCCCCCATAGCCTGAGGAGGGCCCTGAACGGCAGGCCTGGGTCTCTTACTGGGTTGGACAGGCATGGTAGGCGCTGGCCTGCGGAGCGGGGCTGAAGGTCGGGAACTTCCCGTTAGCTGAGGGCGGGTGTCGAAGCTCCTTTCTATGATCTGCGCCTTTGCCAGGACTGCCGAATATGTCTCGAGCTCCATCACCAACAAGTGCTGTCTGATCGCCGGGCGGAGACCCCACTGGAATTTCCTGGCCTTTCGGCCCTCATCCAACAATGTCTCCGGGGCATGTCGGCCCAGCTCCAGGAACTTGCGGGCATACTCCGACACTGTCATATTACCCTGGACCAACTGAGCAAATTCCATTTCCTTTAAATGTTGGATGTGCTTAGGGAGATACTCCGCATGGAAAGCCGCTAGGAACTGCTCCCAAGTAACTGGTACAGGCAGGGTGGCCCGCTTGAGCTCCCACCAGCGTACTGCTTCCCCTACCAGCATGTAGGAGGCAATGGCAGCCCTCTGCTCAGGAATTACTCCCAAGGTCT